TCACAGTATAAGTTGTAATCAGGGGCGGACTGACCATTTGGAAACTCGGGCACTGCCCGAGGGCCCGGGGTCAGTAGGGGGCCCCATGAGATGCCCCTGATACCTTTTTCATAGGCTTTTTTGAGTTTGGGCAAGGACACAGGGGCCCCATGATCCCCTATTGCCCGGGGGCCCCATGAGTTGTCAGTCCGCCCCTGGTTGTAATGGTAGTTTATTATCTAAGAGGGTTGACAATGCCTAGTTAGGTCACATCACTTCTTTTAGATCAGATAGTACAGAGAAGGAAGAGTATAAACCATTAATCTACTGTTTGGCTGGAAGCTTCGTTTTCCTTAAAACTAAAGAAATAAATAAAACAAAAAAATTCCAACTGAATAATTGATTCCCTTGTCTTTCTAGCGCATATCCAGAGCAGCATTATGGAGTATGTCTATGACTCCTAGTATAATGGCTTTTTTCTTGTCATGCTCATTATATGGTTAACCCTCTAACTTGTGGCTGGCCCATAGCCTGACAATACATGTTTACTCGTCTAAGATGCAGGAGATCGACGAAGTAGTTGATAAATAATTTAGGAGGCCAAAGAGTTGGCATTTCTCTCTGTCTCTCGGCTCTCTCTCACCATTCATATTTCATGCACTTTTGTACGAAGCCACGAAAAATTGCATTCGCTTTTACCTACTGTTGTGTTTGTCAGAGTGGTAGGAATTAAGTAGAGGAGACTGTTTCTATTAAAGAGAGAGTCAGACTACAGGTATGTTTCACTTTTTTTTTTTTTTTACTTGGAAATGAAGAGAGTGCACCCAAAAACGCTATATATCAGTTTTGGGTCGATGCTGTTTGGTTGGGCCCCCAAAAGCACTTTGTACGTTTTTTGGAGACTGGGATTTTTACACTGATGTTCCCATCTCCACCCACTTGCCACTGTTAGAATGTGAAGATTTCAAATGTTCTTTTTTTTTTTTTTATATGTTATGGTGTGTATAAGATGCAGCAATGCTCCAGTCCTGCCAGCCTTTACGATAGGAGTGTATCTTTGGGTTAAAAATACAAATAAGAAAAAATGAGGATCAGGATCAGACTGTCTGATCAACCTTTTACATCTGACACCAAGGCTTTCTAACCACTTCATGTCAGGACACTTTTACCCCCTTCCTGTCCAGGCTAATTTTCAGCTTTCAGCGCTATCACACTTTGAATGACAATTGCGCGGTCATGCAACACTGTACTCATATGAATTTTTTAGCATTTTTTGAGACAGATAAAGCTTTATTTTGGTGGTATTTATTCACCACTGGGATTTTTATTTTTATTTTTTTTGCTATGTAAATTAAAAAGTCCAAAAATGTAAAAAAAAAGTGTTTTTCTTATAAAATTTTGCAAATAAATAGTATTTCATCATAAATCTTGGCCAAAATTTATTCTGTTATCTTTTTAGTAAAAAAAAACAAATAACCCAAATTAGTTTATAACTAAAATTATAATTTTGAAACTTTTTTTTTTTTTACTTTTTTTTTTTTTATATCTTTTTTTTTTTTTTTTTTTTTTTTTTACATACTGTCACCCTAGCAGTACAGTGTCACCATGGTGGTGATGAAGATTTATTTATTTTTTTACACTGATTGCTTTTACACTCATAAAGGCTGTAAAAGCAATCATTTCTCCTTCTCTCTAGCTCTATTCTTGCAGCCATTGAGAACTACTGAGTGAGCTGTGATTGGTCGCAGCTTGTCACATGGTACAAGGCTGTTGTGAATAGCCTTGTTCTATGTGACCTCTGTGATCATTCACAGATTTCACACGTAAGCAATGATGTCACAAGTGACATCTTGCTTACTACTCTGCATGTGATCACTGATTGGCCAATCAGTGATCACATGATCGGGACCTCGCACAGAGGTTCCATCCGATGATCGGTGTTCCACTGTGTCCGGAGGACACAGCGGCCACCGGATTGCGGTGCTGCACGCTCCCAGGGAGCGTGCACAAGCAGGGTGTGGGGAGGCCATTTATAAACGGCCACCCGACCCTGCACTGCCGCCGTCCGGCCGTTGATATACAATGGCCGGATGGGAGGTGGTTAAAGATCTCTTCAGATGCTGTTGTGTGTTTTTTTTTTTTTTTTTTTTTTTTTTTTTTTTCTTCCAATACCTTCATTCTTTGAGGTTTCCCACTTGTTCGATTTCAATTAAAAAATTTTTGGAATCATGCTGCAAAAGTGCAGAAAACTAATTAATTATGGATGATATGTTTACATTTTTTGTTTTTGTTTTGTGGACAAAAATATCGGTTGGTGAATGGAATCAAAAGCTCATTTAAAGTTGTCACTGTACTGGGCCAATCCTAAGTGGCCAAGGCATTCCTTTACCCCACAGCCACACGTATACACACTATTTGATGGTTGGCTTAGTATAGGTGACAATTTCCTGGTCGGTTGGGACTATGATCCATATATAGCTGAGCTCAATCCTAGTCCTCAACTGATTATTGATTTGGGTGTACAAGATTGGGCATTGTGGGGGAGATTTACTAAAAATTGGAGTGTGCAAAATCTGGTGCAGCTTTGTTCAGAAGCCAGTAGCTTTATTGTCAAAGCATAAGTTTAAAACAGAACTTATGTCATTTTTTTTTTTTTTTAGGTCCCATGCAGTGGGGCTGTGCCAGCACTGCATGGCTTAACTGCTCGTTTTTTTTCCAGGGGGCTCCCAAAAAACTATACTTGCGCTGTCCTTTTGAATTCCCCAAAAAAACGGTGCTCCCCCATGTCCAGCGGTCCTGCTATCCTAATGCCTGGAGCCGGTCTGGAACAGTCCATTAACAAGACCACTAGGGCACAGGGAAGCCGAAGCGCAGGGACCAGTCTTGCATTTGGGAGACCGGCGAATTAGGGAAGTATATCTTTGCTCTTATCACAAGACACAAATGATCAGCCCATGCAGTGCCGGCACAGCCCACTCCATGGTACAAAAATGTTTTTGCCCGGAACTCTGCTTTACCCCAGGTTCACACCTAAGCGTTTTCCTCAGCGTTTTGCAGAAACTCGGTACAGTCCATTTAATATTATTTTCTATGGGACAGGTTCACATCTCTGCATTTTCACCCGGTAAGTTTTTTGGAAAGGGTCAGGGACTTTTTTGAATGCAAAACGTTGCATTTTTGGTTCTATAGACTTCAATGGAAACGCTGCAGAAAAGCATGTGTATTGTGTTTTTGATGCGTTTTTTTTTGTTAAAATCTGCCTAGCAATAAGAAAAAAAAAAACGAAAAAAAAAAAACAAAACAAAACCGCAAAACGTCTAGAAACGCATCAAACGCAACCTGCATAGGTGTGAACCTAGACTTAAGACTGAAGTTAGAAGATGATTGGCTACAGGGGCGCGGACTGACAACTCATGGGGCCCCCGGGCAATAGGGGATCATGGGGCCCCTGTGTCCTTGCCCAAACTCAAAAAAAGCCTATGAAAAAGGTAGCAGGGGCATCTCATGGGGCCCTCTACTGACCCCGGGCCCTCGGGCATTGCTCGAGTTTCCAAATGGTCAGTCCGCCCCTGATTGGCTACCCTTCACAGCTGCACCAGATTCTGAGTGCTCCAGTTTTAGTAACTCTCCCCTGTATGTCCAGTGTATGTTTTACATCTAGTCTGCTATTAAAAGATTGATCATCGTCTGCACCACTTATCTCACTTCTCTTGTGTGTGTTTCTGTGAAAATTGTGGACACATTCTTGTTTTGATAACTTTTTATTATGTTATATAGTAAAGGTTTTACAGACAATGTAATTACTGTAAATGATCCTTGTTGAACAATGCATCATAAATTAAAAGTATTTACAAAATGTAAAAAATTCAACAGATCGCAATTACAAAGCATGTGATAGGGCTGCGGACCAATGCGGCGCTGCGCGTTACACAAGCAGTCAGGGCAGGGGGATGACAGAACTGCGTTTCAGCCTTCTAGAGTCAGAGGTCCTAACCCAGAGTACCACTTGCCAACGTCCACTAAATATCTGTTTTGAATAAATCACAACATTAGGAACAGAAACAGTGGTTGGTAATAGAGGGGTTTTGGTAGAGAGAGGGATATAAATAATAAAAGAAAAAAGGGAAAGAGAAGAAAGGAAATTGCTCCCTTTGGACAAGATCCTGGTCTACCTCCGCTGTACCCTGTTCCTGATCCTACACAAGTGATTGTGTGGCTACATTTGCATCAGTATTTAGGGTCGCTGTGAATTGTAGCGGCAGTCCCTACTGCGGCTCTCAGCGGTTAGGTGCGTTTGTCAGCCCCCCTCATTATAATGATAGGTCGACTGTGGCCACAGTTATTTTTACCTGAGCTGATTGCTGCTGGATGCTAACAAAGTGTGTCCAGCAGCAATCACCACAGGTAATCTCTGTTTGTGAAGAGTGACACGAATACCTACGGCCGCCGGTGACCTGTCCTTTTAGTGAATGGAGCCAGCAGCCGCACATACCTGCTGAGCCACAACAGGAATCTCTGATTCCTACCACTACTATTTGCACTGGCCCTAATCACTGGTGTGAATCTAGCCTCACCCTAGGTTCACATTTTGTGCGGGTGGTGCCGCTGCAGATCCGCACGAAAATCCTGTGCAGCCGCACCACCCGCACAGAGACATGCGGGCACGCGGGTGGGTGCCATTCATTCTAATGGCTCGCCGCCCGCACTGGAAAACGCAACTGTACTGGGAACCAAGGTTCCCGTGTGGGCTGCATTTTCAAAAGAAGTGCAGGGACTTCTTTCATTGTATGTCATGGGCACGGGAGTCCATCCAAATGAATGGGCTCTCATGCCCGTGCAAAACGCGGCCCGCACGGCCGCATAGATGTGCCGGGGGTAAATCTCATACCCAAGGATTCCAAATCTTTTCAGATCCTATCTTGTAGAATGCTTGCTAACTTTTCTTGAAGCATTTTAAGACATTTTATTTTTGGCCACTGATATATTTAACTGTACACATATCATTTCTGTCTCTGCTTTAGGAACTAGTGATTTCAATGCCTTGAATGTACCATTGCATAACAGAAGACATCAGGTTTGTGTAGTTTTTTTTTTTTTTTTATATATAACTGATTCAGAGTTACCATCTTACATTCTCTTGTATTTGACATTAAAGGAAGAAAGAAAAGATGGGTGGCTCAACCTTCTCCCCATCCTTGGAACCTGGAACATGGACCAGGCTGAGGACAAGGAATGACCATAGAGAACAGTAACCTCCCAGTCCTCACCTCTGCTTCTATGCCATGACAGGCTGTTATGTTCTATGGCCATTCCCTGACATCAGCCCAGTACATGCTCCAGCCTATGTGTACTACTGTCAACTTTGAGGGAGTAAAGGCTCAGCAAGAACTTTGTGTTTTTCTGAAGCAGGCAGTTAGATGACGGGTATCAAAGTAAAGGCTGGGGGTATATTTGGGTTCCATTTGGAAGTGGCCTAAACCTTTAGGAAAACGATAGTCTTGCTTCCCATACGTGCTTGGATTTGAATTTTTGTTCCTGTGTGTGGTCTCCTCTTCCTTGCTATTTTCTTACTACCTGGGAGTGTTGACACTTTGTCCATCAGAATGGCCCGCCTGTCAGAGGCATCTAAAGGCTTTGTGAAGCTGATGCAGGTATCTGTGGGCACCTCTAGAGGGTAGATTTATTAAAACTAGTTCATTCAGAATCTGGTGCAACTCTACATGGTAGCCAATCAGCATCTAAGTTCAGCTTGTTCAATTAAACTTTGACAATAAAACCTGGAAGCTGATTGGTTTCTATGCAGAGCTGCGCCTGGTTTTGCGTTTTTTGTAAATATTCCCCTAGGTGTCTTCACTTTATACACACAGCAGTTTTTCTTTGTTTTTTCTGGATAGTTTCTCATTAAAGTGATCCTATCACTGAATAACCATTTTTTTAAATGCCAAAGGATTAATTCCTGTCGCTCTACCAGTTTCTACAACTAATACCTGTCGGATGATTGGTCCCCTGACATGTGTTGAGGTTCCACATCCTGGCTGCTCTATCACTACATGACACAGTAATGAAGGGGCACATAGGAGCAACCCCAGTGCACTGCGGGAGGCCAGACATCCAACACCCTGAATTGTGTTTGAATGAATAATATACTGTTTAGCAAGCTTATCTCTGAAAGTAAAAGGTAAGTAGTCCTTTTCTTAACAGGAAGGTGTTTTACTCCCCTCAGCCGATTCAATGTCTGTGAGCTCCCTCACTAGCACAGACATCTTCTTGTTAGATTCTTCCAGGTTCAGGATCTCAGGCCATCTTTATTGGCCAGGCTTGGGTGATCTAACTCCTGCATATGGCCATGGGAGTTGATTCAATCCAGCAGATGCAGAGTCTGTACACTGAGATGCACATGAGCAGCTCAGCATACAATGTAAACCGTATGCAAGGAAAATGGTAAGAATGTGTCATTGAAGAAAAGACCTAGTATGCCTCTTCTGGAAAACAAAATACCTTTCTGTTTTCAAATTTTGTATTTTCAACTAAATGCCACTCTGAGTGTTAAAGTGGTTGTAAAAAAAAACCTTCTATTGTCAGCTTCTTCCCATCCCCCCCCCCCAATACATACCAGATCTTGATCCAGCGCTGTGCCCAAGAACAGTGGTGCTGCTCTCTCTTACTCCTCATTGGACTCGTGAGATTGCTGTCAATCAAATCCAGTCAAGATGCGGATCATACTCCCGATGTGAGTTTCCCATTGTGCAGCATAGATGGCCAGACCGGGAGTCTGATCCATCTCATTCACACCCAGAGTGTTGACCAATCACATTACTGCTCACATTACTAACAACTACAGTCTGAATGGGCGGGACTGTGGGCGTGAATGAGATGGATCAGACTCCTGGCCTGTCGTATGCTGCACAGCGGGCAGATCAGACCGGGAGACTGAGACTCTTAGATCCACCCACTGCAGCGAACAGTGATGTATTCACCGCTCGCTTTACTAGAACTACAGTGGGGATTGTACAAGATCGGTGGCCAGGGGGAGAGAGGGCACAGCAGCCACCGGTCATATAAACAGGATATAAGGGGAACGTGTGTGTATATACAGTATCTCACAGAAGTGCATAAACCCCTCACATTTTTGTAAATATTTTATTCTTTTCATGTGACAACACTGAAGAAATAACACTTTGCTACAATGTGACGTAGTGAGTGTACAGCTTGTATAACATGTAAATTTGCTGTCCCCTCAAAATAACTCAACACACAGTCATTAATGTCTAAACTGCTGGCAACAAAAGTGAGTCCACCCCTAAGTGAAAATGTGCAAATTGGGCCCAAAGTGTCAATATTTTCTGTGGCCGCCATTATTTTGCAGCACTGCCTTAACCCTCTTGGGTATGGAGTTCACCAGAGCTTCACAGGTTGCCACTGGAGTCCTCTTCCACTCCTCCATGGCAACATCACAGAGCTGGTGGATGTTAGAGACCTTGCGCTCCTCCACCTTCTGTTTGAGGATGCCCCACAGATGCTCAATAGGGTTTAGGTCTGGAGACATGCTTGGCTGGTCCATCACCTTTACCCTCAGCTGCTTTAGCAAGGCAGTGGTAGTCTTGGAGGTGTGTTTGGGGTCGTTATGTTGGAATACTGCCCAACGGCCCAGTCTCAGAAGGGAGGGGATCATGCTCTGCTTCAGTATGTCACAGTACTGTCATGGTTCCCTCAATGAACTGTAGCTCCCCAGTGCTGGCAGCACTCATGCAGCCCCAGACCATGACACTCCCACCACCATGCTTGACTGTAGGCAAGACACACTTGTCTTTGTACTCCTCACCTGGTTGCCGCCACACACGCTTGACACCATCTGAACCAAATCCGTTTATCTTGGTGTCATCAGACCACAGGACATTGTCCAGTAATCCATGTCCTTAGTCTGCTTGTCTACAGCAAACTGTTTGCAGGCTTTCTTGTGCATCATCTTTAGAAGAGGCTTCCTTCTGGGATGACAACCATGCAGAACAATTTGATACAGTGTGTGGCATATGGTCTGAGCATTGACAGGCTGACCCCCCCCCCTTCAACTTCTGCATCAGTGCCGGCAGCAATCATGCATCTATTTCCCAAGGACAACCTCTGGATATGATGCTGAGCACGTGCACTCAACTTCTTTGGTCGACCATGGCGAGGCCTGTTCTGAGTGAAACCTGTCCTGTTAAACCGCTGTATGGTCTTGGCCACCACACTGCAGCTCAGTTTCAGGGTCTTGGAAATCTTCTTATAGCCTAGGCCATCTTTATGTAGAGCAACAGTTCTTTTTTTTTTTTTTCAGTTCCTCAGAGAGTTCTTTGCCATGAGGTGCCATGTTGAACTTCCAGTGACCAGTATGAGAGAGTGAGAACGATAACACCAAATGTAACACACCTGCTCCCCATTCACACCTGAGACCTTGTAACACTAACGAGTCACATGACATCGGGGAGGGGAAATGGCTAATTGGGCCCAATTTGGACCTTGTCACTTAGGGGTGGACTCACTTTTGTTGCCAGCGGTTTAGACATTAATGGCTGTGTGTTGAGTTATTTTGAGGGGACAGCAAATTTACATGTTATACAAGCTGTACACTCACTACGTCACATTGTAGCAAAGTGTCATTTCTTCAGTGTTGTCACATGAAAAGAATCAAATATTTACAAAAATGTGAGGGGTGGACTCACTTCTGGGAGATACTGTACTCAAAACATTTCTTCTTGGAGTTCATATTTAAATCTGCTAAATACATTTCAAGTGCACCAACAATAAACGAGTCTTAACCTGAGTAGAGAAGCCTGTCAGCTGCCAGCATTTGGCACAGAAGGACTCTTGCTGTCTCTGTGGAAGCAGTTGTCTCTCTGCAGAGGTGAAATGGCCCACTGCTGAGTCAGAGCCAGCTTTGCTATATATATATATTTTTTTGTATTCGAGACTATATCCCTGTACTATAGCTCGTGCTTGGTGATGTCTGCTAAGTGTTCATTTCAGCATCAGATATCTAAAGAGGCCCATAGGACTCTTAAAAAGAAAAAAAAAAAGTTTATGCAATATTACTGCACAAGCAGCTATTAGATTTTTCTTTTAACAGGTCAACTTTAAGCAATTCTGTCTCCAGATAATGAACATTAGGAGGATCTATGATGTAGTGCAGCGATTACTTGTACATTGCAGATAGTCTATGAATTCAATTGAATGTTGTCTGTCTTTCCTCTGCTGGTGAATAGAATGAATTGATGAGTCCTCAAATTCTTTTTCCAGCTGAAGGCTCGGGAATTAGCTGGTCAGGCTCTGGCCTTTGTCCAGGATCTAGTCACTGCTCTCCTGAACTTTCATACATACACAGAACAGAGAGTCCAGATCTTTCCTATAGACTCCTCCATCGATGTCATCTCGCCATTAAATCAAAAGGTAAAGGAACCCAAGCATGTTTTTATGACTTTGAATATGGAGATGTTTAACTCATGATTGGTAGTCAAAATAATGATGATGTAGCGCTATATGTTAATATCTATTATGTGGATGTGAGAAACACCCATTACCTGTAAACATACAACAACATATATAAATAAAGTAGATCCCGTTTTCTGTGTTAGATCTGACCGGATCTATTAGGTGACTTACAAGTGGTTAGCTGTCCAAAATAAGAGGTTCAATGGTGAATACCTACACAAGTGATTATACCTATCCCCCACCAGGGGATCAGCCCATTCAAAAAATAAGTGAAGAAATGAAAAACAGTGAATCCCTATACAGGGATATATGCTACCACATATAAGTGATCAGTGTAATGACCCGTATCAGTTGTTAAACCACAAATGTTTGCCAATGTCCATAATGAACCGACATAATCATACGTGGGAAAAAAACACACAATAATGACTTTTCCAAGCGTGCTCCTGTGCTGGTGCAAGTGGTGAGTGATAATCCTAAATAGCAGGCATGGCCGCTCACCTTCCCGCTGCGACCCACAGGGGCCAAAGCGTCTTTTGGATCGCTCAGGATCCTGCGTGCAATCTCCAGGTAAGGTAGGTTCCACAACCCCCACTGGTCTCTCCTTCAATTTCAGCTACTCTTCCATACACAGGTAGCAGTGTATATACCCATATATGCACATCATGTTGGAATCATACAATGATAAAACAAAGATCCTCCATAGTGCAACACTGCATATTTATTGTTTCAACTCACATTTAAGCAGATAATAACAGGCTTTTTTAACACCACTATACATGGGTGTACTGGATGCATTCTGGTGTACTAAGATGGCGCTCACCGGACGTGCTTCACCACGCCGCATCTACGCGTTACGCCACGCCCATGTGGCTTCCTCAGGATAGCATCATGGTGTTCCTAAATGGTATTTATAAGGGGATCTTGATGTTAATTGGTTGGTCTACAGTATAGAGCCGCCACGGTCATTTTCTTGTAGTTCCGATTATTGAGGACATAACATAATATCTGTAACTCCTGATTACCCTAATGCAAGAAAAAGATCATCTAACCCAAGAACAAAAAAAGGAATATATTTCACCTTAACAGTGCTAGGTGTGGTGCCCGCGATAGTGAGCAAGTCTTTTTCTGTTAACAATAAACCACATTAATGAAGCATGCCCTATGTGTCTTAGGCTGCATCATTATGTATAACTCGGAACTTGCGCTCACTCTTGTACAGTGCAGTTGGCCCTGAACATCCGGTGCGAAGAGTTATAGGTCTGGCTGGAGTAGCTGAAGTACATAGATCACAGTGGGTTACTCCCTCTCCAGCTCCTCCATTCAGTAAATGTCTTGCATTCTTCTCAGTGGCTGCAAGGTGCTCTGTGATTGGAGGAGAGAGTGGATGAAAATTATGCTGTCCCTCTCCTCCAATCACAGTGCACCTGGCATTCAGTGAACACAATTCAAGATGAAGCTGGAGTACGAGTGGTTATTTGAGTGCTCCAGCTGAAACTGTAAGGGTTCAGTTGGACTTGGTTGAAAAATCAGGCAATTGAGCCATTGTTATCCCGCCGTTGTTTTCGGCAGGCAGTTTCACCTCCGTCAATGATCAGGTCAAGCGAATGGGGCCGCTCTGCCTCTGCCCTGCAACCATGTGCAATAATGCAGCATTTACAAGGTTTAAAACAGGCAGTAAGGATGGGACATGTGGTCTTATCACCGTCTGTCAATTGCCTCTGAAAAGCGATCCACCGTGGATTGCTTTTTGGCGGTGCTGCAATTACAGCCACACGTCTAAAAACATAGCCTTACTCTTAGCATCATACATTCAGTTCTGACTGCACTGTTCAGATGAGAGTGAAAATCAGAGTTCGTAACCCCCTGCAGCCTACACACGTGGGACACATTTTATTAATGTGGATTTATTTTTATAGTACACATGTCAAAAAAATAGGTTTAGCTTGGAGTTCAGCTTTACACTACTCAGGGAGGATGGAGGGGAAAGTGTCTGAGTTCCAGTATCTGTGAAGGATGTGATCTGCCCTTACCAAGTATGCAGGTCAAGATTTTTAATAGTACTGTTTGCATTCCTGTTTTCGTGACCCATACCATTCCTCTTGTTACCCCGTCCATAGTACCTGAGGCAAAGAGTCTGTTGTAAGCTCATATCTCCTGTCACATCTCTCTAGGAATCCCAAGATAGCAGCTGTGAAACTCTGCCTAAACATCAATTTTACATTTCAGTGTACCTTTCTATCATCCCTCCTTTCTGCATTTGGCTGGAATTCATATTTTTTTCTTTTGGGTGACTTCAGCCATAGAAATAATGGTTTCCGTAAATCCAAAAGGGAAGGATGATGTCAATTTTTTCATGGAAGATTGTGTGTTGAAGAGCTGTGAAATGAGATTGGGAGCACGAAATTGCCTCTATGTACAGTAACTATTGGATGGGATAGCAAGGGGAATGGCATGCATCTCCTTTAACCACTTCCTGACCGGCCGTTGCATATAAACGGCCGGACGGTGGCAGTGCAGGGTCGGGTGGCCGTTTATAAACGGCCTCCCCGCACCCTGCTTGTGTGTGCTCCCTGGGAGCGCGCAGCACCGCGATCCGGTGCCCGCTGTGTCCTCCGGACACAGTGAAACACTGATCGTCAGACGGGACCTCTGTGCGAGGTCCCAATCATGTGATCGCTGATTGGCCAATCAGTGATCACATGCAGAGTAGTAAGCAAGATGTCACTTGTGACATCATTGCTTACTACGTGTGAAATCTGTGAATGATCACAGAGGTCACATGGTACAAGGCTATTCACAACAGCCTTGTACCATGTGACAAGCTGTGACCAATCACAGCTCACTCAGTACTTCTCAATGAGTGCAAGAATGCAGACAGAGAGAAAGAGAAATGATTGCTTTTACATCCTATATGGGTGTAAAAGCAATCCGTGTAAAAAAAAAAAAAAAAAAAAAATCTTCACACCCCCACAAGTAGTACAGTGTCACCATGGTGACACTGTACTGCTAGGGTGACAGTATGTAAAAAAAAAAAAAAAAAATAAAATAAAAAATGTAAACAAAAATGTTTAAAAATTATAATTTTTGGTTATAAACTAATTTGGATTTTTTTTCTTACTAAAGAGATAACAGAATAAATTTTGGCCAAGATTTATGATGAAATATTATTTATTTGCAAAATGTTATAAAAAAAAAAAACATTTTTTTCAAAATTTTGAACTTTTTCATTTACATAGCAAAAAAAATAAAGTGGTGAATAAATACCACCAAAATAAAGCTTTATCTGTCTCAAAAAAAATGGTAAAAAATTAATTTGGGTACAGTGTTGCATGACCGCGCAATTGTCATTCAAATTGTGATAGCGCTGAAAGCTGAAAATTGCCCTGGTCAGGAAGGGGGTAAAAGTGTCCGGTCTGGAAGTGGTTAAAGATCAGTGACTTGATAAGAATTAATTCGATGATGATGAAATGTCACATTCCTGCAGTCTCAAAAACAAACCAGCAGTGGTAGCTCTCCTATTTTTATAGTGACAGGTCCCCTTTAAAGATTAATGTGGACAATGCTGAGGCTACATTCATACAATCAGCAATTCCAGGCATTTTGTGGCAAATTGCCGGACCATGAAAATGTTCAGCTTTATGAAAAGCCCAATTTCACCCGCATTATAATATAAAAAGCAACTTCTCTGCACACTCTAATGCTGCTTTATTGAAGGATAACTCCACCATTTGATGAAAAGTTGAATGAACTCTAAATATATTTGTCACCCCTCTCAACCCTGCCACACATGGCAGCCATGATGCTCCGTGGTGTTGGTGTAGTGGTCTGTGCACCGTACACCACAATACACAGCCATGGAGTGAGTATCCATCATATTGCTTGCAATGACAAGTGCTCTCTGTTCACATGACTGCACTGACCAATGAAAAGCGGTTATTTTTTCTGGAATATCTTACGGGAAGAAATAGCCTCAGATGCGGTTATCATTGTGAGCATTTTGTTGGATACTTACTGAGCTGAAACACCGGCAGCCGGGGGCATCACAGCCTCAATGTGCAGTGTGGTGCACAGAGGTGGTCAGGGTGTTTTTATTATTATTATTATTATACAGGATACAGGATTTATATTATTATTATTATACAGGATTTATATTATTATTATTATACAGGATTTATATTATTTATTATTATACAGGATTATTCTACAGGATAATATTATTATTATACAGGATTATTATTATATAGATTTATATGCCAACAGTTTGCTCAGCGCTTTACATTATAACGGGAGACAATACAGCAACAATACAGTTCAATACAAGAGGGTTAGGAGGGCCCTGCTCCTCGGAGCTTACAATCTGAAGGAGGGGATTGAGATTTTGGTTCACCTTTTTCTTTTTTTGTGAAAAGATGAATTTTTAATTTTTAGTTTTTTTTATATTTTTTTTATTGCAGTCAGTCATAAACATCAAATGGTTGTGGGATTGCACTTTTTTTTTTTTTTGATTTAGGGCCAGTTTTAGTGAAGCTGTAAAATGCAGATCAATGGAAGAACATCTGAAAAGCAATTTCCAATATGTTCTATCCTCACCATAATGTTGCATTGCGTTGGGCTAAAATTCAAAATGTAAACGTCGACGGACGTCAAAATGTGTGTCAACAGACACCAGCACACGTTAAAACGCGACTAAAATGGATGGAAATGTACATGCATTTTAGCACAAGGGCGGCACAGTGGCTTAGTGGTTAGCACGTCTGCCTTGCAGTAAATGGGTCATGGGTTCAATTCCTGACCATGGCGCCTCCTGCATGGAGTTTGCATGTTCTCCCTGTGCTTGCGTGGGTTTCCTCCGGGTGCTCTGGTTTCCTCCCACACTCCAAAGACATGCTGGTAAGTTAATTGGCTCCTGTCTAAATTGTCCCTAGTATGTGTATGTATGAATGTGAGTTAGGGACCTTAGATTGTACACCCCTTGAGGGTTAGGGACTGATGTGAATGTACAATATATATGTAAAGTGCTGTGCAAATTCACAGCGCTATATAAGTACCTGAAATAAATAAAATAATAAGTCAATGTGAATTGGCCCTCACAGTTAATATGTTCATATTGATAATGTACACATTCAGGCAGTCCTACTATGCAAAAACTTTTAATGGGATAGTTTTTTTTTTTTATTTTTTTATTATAGATGCATTTGGGGTGTACATACTTTATGGAGGCTCTGATTCTTGCTTGACAGCGTATCCTTTTTTTAACCCCTCCAAGTCTACGAGGCAGGGACTGTTTGAGAACAATAGACCTCCGCAGTCTCTACTGATGTGGAATACCCACAGTGCTCCATGTAGTCATAGACACCCATGCGATTTAGGCTGCCAAGGCTTTAGATCACATGAAAGGGTTCAGTAGCAGCAGCTTATTTATGCATATGCTGCACATGGACATACAGTTCTTGTAAGACTTGACAAAACATATTTTTTTAAACTACAAGCAATATATTCTTCATAGAAATTATCTTAAAGTATAACTAAAGGCAAAAATGTTTTTTAGTTTTGGATAGATTAGAGCACCTGTCAGTTTTTATTGCTGTCTATGTCCCTGATAGGAAGATTCACCCTCTCTGATTGTCCTGTTTTCCATTTTTATCAAAAGGGAAAAACCCCCCCAAATTTTGGGTTGTACCTAGAAGAGTATCGGAGAGGAAATCCTCCAATGGGGACACTAGTTCTTGTGACCTGGGGGTCTCCAAGGAATTCCCTTAATTTGCAGGGATTTCCGTTCACTTCCTTTTGGGCTATGGGACGGGAAGTGAAGGGAAATCTCCCCAATGGTTCACAGATGACAAAAAAATAAACTGAGGGGAGGTTATAACCCTCTTTCCAAAATAAAAAAAATAAAGGTTTTGCCTATAGTTCTACTTTAAATGGATGAACAGGAACGCATTTGCATTAAGTCCATGTGATTCTTATGATTTTAGTTCCAATTGCTAGAACTTTGATTAGTAGCAGATATTGGTAGGGAGGCCTCACAGCTTTGCATGCACGTTAATTCTGATTCATGCACTTACAACAGGTAGTGTATAGATATTGTGCATTGACTTTCAGTGGCATCCCCAATGCTCACCTAATAATAAAGCATGTGTTTCCATGCAGTGTGCCGAAAAACAAACACGGCAGGTATGTTTTTGGCCATGCATGGACATCATCACCTAACCTTCGCCAAATCGTTGGGTTTGTAGCTACATAGAGATATCTTCACATGATGCTTTTTTTCTTTGGGTACCTGATTCATCTACTGTCTCTGATCCCAAGATATTTAGAATACATACACCAATCAACCATAACTTTATGACCACTCACCTTATATTGAGTAGGTCCCCCTTTTTCCACCAAAACAGCCCTGACCCATCAAGACATGGATGCCACTAGGCCTCTGAAGGTATGTGATGGTATCTGGCACCAAGCCATCAGTAGCAGATCCTTTAAGTCAAGTAAGTTGTGAGGTGGGGCCTCCATGGATCGGACTTGTTTTTCCAGCACATCCCACAGATGCTAGATTGGATTGAAATGTGGAGAATTTGGAGGACAAGTCAACATCTCGAACTTGTGTTCCTCAAACCATTCTTGAACCATTTTTGGTATGACAGGTCACATTATCTTGCTGAAAGAGGCCACTACCATCAGGGAATACCATTACCATGATGGGGTGTACTTAGTCACCAACAATGTGGTATGTGTCAAAGTAACATTCACATGAATGGCAGGACCCAAGGTTTCCCAGCAGAACATTACCCAAAGCATTACAGCTTCTTCTCACACTTCATCCTGGTGCCATCTCTTCCCCAGGTAAGTGGCACATGCACCCTGTCATGCAATGAAAATGTGATTCCTAGACCACGCCACCTTCTTCCATTGCTCCGTGGTCCAGTTCTGATGCTCATGTGCCCATTGTAGGCAATTTTGGCTGTGGACTCGGATCAGCATGGGCACCCTGACCAGTCTGCGCCCCATACACCACAAACTGCAATGGCCATTTTTTTTTTTTTGCTTTCAACACAGCTTCAGGGACAACTTGTTCACTTACTGCCTCATATATCCCACCCACTTTCAGATGCCGTTGTAGCGAGATAATCCTTGATCTTCACTTTACCTCTCAGTGGTCATAAAGTTATTGCTGATCGGTGTATATGCAGCTTTTTAGCTCAGAGATGTCTTATTGCAGATTTGAGTGTCTAGTTATGCCTATATTTGACCAGCGGATGGCAGTGTTTGCCAACAGTCTCCATTTCCGCATGTTGGGTTTCTCAGGGCTCAGGGATTGTGGAGTCTTCATCAATAATCCCTTTACATGTTACAGTGCATCTCATTTTGAAGAATAGGTAATTATTGCACTCTGTTGTACAGACTTGAGATAACACAAATACTCCTGTTTGAAAACTTTATTCCTTTGAAGGATTAGCATGCTATGTGATTTCAATTTGATTTTTGTAGTATATCAGGGAAAAAAAAAGAGACATTTAATTGACAGTGATGTATCCACTAAGCTTGATGTAACATATAAGTGGCCCACTTTGGATCCTCTAACTGGCTGCCTTCCATCACGCAGTTCTCGCACTATCTCCACGAAAATGCCTCTTACGTGCGTCCTCTGGAGGAAGGAATGCTCCTGTTATTTGAAAGCATCACCGAGGGCACCATTACCGTCCTGGTAATATTTTCTATCTCATTATCTCCTTCTTCCTCCATCTGTGAATAAATCTGTCCCTTTTTAATGTCTTATTCCAATTTTCATCCCCAGGAAACTGCGGTGAGGCTGCAAAATTTTTCTGAGCACTTTACATCCTATGTGTCTTTTCTGCAAAAAATTCTCCCGTATCAATTAAAAAGGTATGCAGATTATAATGTATTCCACTCCAGACAATAGTCATGCACATACTGATTATTGAAGCTCTGAAAGAATATATAGATGTACAGTTTTTAACTTGCTTATATATGCTTCATATGTTTTTAAAAGCTTGTTTCTTCTCTCCTTCTCTAATTACATTAAAAACTTTCTTTCTTTATGCTGACTCGCCATATGCCACCCCAGAGGTAAAATCAGGCCTGCGATGGGAATGACTGTTATCTAAGATGACAGGTTATAAGGGCGGGTCATTTCATGGACTTAAAGGGGGAGGATAATGCTGCATGGGCATCACCAATATAGTCACGGATCACCCACAAAGGCAACTAAAGTAGGAGCCCAGGGCTGGATTAATGTCCAGGGGGCCCAACTACAACCCTTATGATCCTGAATAATTCCAAGAAGAAAGCAATATTTATCAAAGCCATTCACTTCCTGGCCTTTGACAAGGGAGAATACATTTTTAGCAGGGTGGATTTGATTTAAATCAAACTGATTTAAATCACGATTTAAATCACTAGTCAGTAAGGCTTGATTTAATTCCTAGTTTTCTACATAAAGACTAATTCTTGCTGGTATAACTTTAATATGCAAGTAGATGAAGATTTTTAGAATAACAACTTTTCATATTAGTTTTTTTATCCCCAGTTTAATTAATCATTCATATTTGGACAACTTTTCTGTTGTATTTAGGAAGGAGAAAAATAATCATTACCTTAATAATAATAATTTAAATAGATTTATTCAACTGAAACAATAACATTCCAGCATATGTGATTTGCTTAAACAAACATCCATGTTTGGTAACTAATTTGTCTAAACAAAATATATATATTTTAAGAAACTTAGACTGTCAGCTCCTTCCTCGACGGGGAGAAAGAGGGCAGATTTTTCTTTTAAAAAACGAAAAATCGGTCGTTCAAGCGGCCGACGTTACCATCAATGGTAAAAAAAATCGGTCGATTTTCATCCTGTCTACAGCCAAGTGTCCCTGCAGAGAGCTCCGCTATTTCTTTGACAGTTCCTTGACATTTACAGAGGTTGCAACAATGTATCTATTTGTTTCCATTTAGGATACAGATTTTTTTATTCGGAAACAAATAGATACAATGTTGCAACCGCTGTAAATGTCAAGGAACTTTTTGCCGTACTGGAATTCCTCTAATTTTTCATCCTTCTTCTTCTTCTCCTGCATCATCATCATCCTCTTCTTCTTCTTCATCATCATCATCCTCTTCTTCTTTTCATCATCATCATCCTCTTCTTCTTCTTCGTCGTCATCATCCTCTTCTTCTTCCTCTTCGTCGTCATCCTCCTCTTCTTCTTCCTCTTCGTCATCATCATCCTCCTCTTCTACTCTTCCTCTTCATCATCATAATCATCCTCTTCTTACTTCTTCCTCTTCATCATCATCATCCTTCTCTTCTTCTTCTACTTCTTCTTCCTCTTCATCATCATCATCCTCCTCTTCTTCTTCTTCTTCTATTTCTTCTTCCTCTTCATCATCATCATCCTCTTCTTCTTCTTCCTCTTCATCATCATCATCATCCTCTCTACTTCTTCTACTTCTTCCTCTCATCATATCCTCTTCTACTTCTTCCTCATCATCATCATCCTCTTCTTCTTCTACTTCTTCCTCATCATCATCATCCTCTTCTTCTACTTCTTCTACTTCTTCTTCATCATCATCATCCTCTTCTTCTTCTACTTCTTCTTCCTCTTCATCATCATTCTTCTTCTACTTCTTATTCCTCTTCATCATCCTCTTCTTCTACTTCTTCTACTTCTACTTCCTCTTCATCATCATCATCATCATCCTCTTCTTCTTCTACTTCTTCTTCCTCATCATCATCATCATCCTCTTCTTCTACTTCTTCTTCTTCTACTTCCTCTTCATCATTATTATCCTCTTCTTCTTCCTCTTCTACTTCTTCTTCCTCTTCATCATCTTCATCCTCTTCTTCTTCTTCTTTTTTCTTCTTTTTCTTTTTTGTCTTCCTCTTGCAGGTCACTGCTCATGCGCAGATTTTTTATCGGTAAAAAATCGGCCGATTTGCCCATTATTGCCGCGAAAATCGGCCAATCGGCAAAATCGGGCCAATTTTTTTCCAACTTTACCGAAAAACCGAAAAAAAAAAAAACGGCCAAAATACAGTAAAAAAACGGCCGAACAAATAGCCCACTAACGATCCGAAAATCGGCTGATTTTATTTTCGGCCGAAAAATCGGCCGATTTTCGACCCATCTATGGCCTGCATTAGTTTCACTTTCTTCTTGTGCAGATCTATTCCACTCCAAACAATCAGAAAAATATTGTTTCTATTCTATTCACTGAACTTCTTGAAACTTATCACTGAAGGGGTTGATTCTGTATTCATAGGTTTGTAGAAGTTAGGATGAAGGTCTTTTTCTTAACTCTGTTCATGTTATAACATTTTTGCTGTGAAGAAGAGGCATGTGATCTCCGCTGAGTCAAATTCAGTTTTGAGAACTGCAAAAGTAAACCAATCATCTGTGATAATATCTTGTAGGCAGAGAAACTGCCCAATAATCTTACAAAAACCTCTGGAAGAGCATGACATTGTGAATGGATTCATGGAATTTATTTACCAAAAAAATTAAACATACATATACAGCCTTATTCTACATAATTAAAAAACTAATCTTTATTTCATGATGGAATAACCTTTGGATGGTAATATATTTTCCTTAAAAAGCATTTTATTTAAAAAAATCTGATTTTAAATAAAAAAATCCGATTTTTTTTAAAATTTTTTTTTTTTTTTTAATTTTTTTTAAATTTTTTTTTTTTTTAAAAATCATTGATTTTTATCCACCCTGATTTTTAGGCAGTTGGCATCTGGTTGGGAAGGGTAATACCAATATGGGGGTTCCAAATTGGGCAGCTTCTCTGTGCCTGTTGCAAAGATGCTATCTTGCCTATAGTCCCATCAATTCTACTTCAATCCTCCTATTGTCATTTGTAGGCAGTAGTACTGTTTAAAGGGGACCTTCACCTTAAGGCTATGTTCACATCTTCACGTTTCCTGCGTGACACATTTTGTGCAGGCACAGCATTCTATTCATTTGAATGGGCTGCTGTACCTGTGGGAAATGTAGGAAAAGGTCCTCGGACTTCTTTCCAAAATACATCCATAGGGCAGCTGCACAGGGCCAGGACTATGTCGCAGTGTCTTGCAGTTTTATGCACCCAATGCATGGGGGTGCCATTAAAGTGGTTGTAAAGGCTCAAGGTTTTTTACATTCATGCATTCTATACATGAAGGTAAAAAAAATCTTCTGTGTGCAACAGCCCCCCAAGTTCGCACATCACTGAGCAAGGTCGCAAAATCGTTTTCAGTGTCTGACGGATTTCCCCCACGAATCATTATCACTCAATTCTGGAAGTGGTTCTGATTTACTATCGCTGTTCTCTAGCTGATCTAAAACCGCTTTTGACCTAAAGGGACGCTTTTTGGACGCCATGGAGAAAGAACAGTAAATATGCAGGCAGGGCACAAGACAAAGCACTCGGGACAAAATGTATGTGAAATGGTTTGATACAGTAATGTTTTACTATGTGATTTTAGTGATTTTAGTGAATGTCACTTTTTGTCATTTTCAAATTTCCTGCCGTTCCGTCCCCGTACGTCCCGACGTCACAGGGGACGGAACCCAGATGACAAATGTCGGCATCGGCCGGAGGACATTACAGGGGACACTGCAGGAGGGACATCGCAGGAGCGCAGGACAAGGTAAGTGATCGAGGGATTGCGGAGCAGCGCCGCATGGTAAGCCCGAGTGTAGCTCGGGGTTACCGCTTGTGGTACTGAAACTTTACCCCGAGCTACACTCGGGAATACCGCCAGGGAGGCTAATAGGACTTCAATTGCTTTGGAGTCCCGATGCAAGCAGAGGGCAGATTTGTAAAGCGCGCCGCTGTGCTACATTAATGTCAGTTTTTTTTTTTTTTTTTTTAAAGCCACCATACCACTCACCGTGTTATAAACGGACCCCTTAGAGTCGGTAACAGCCGAAAACCCTGATGCAGGTCAATCAACCTTCTTATGCCATTATTTAATCCTCGCTGTTGCTGCGGTTGGCGTTCTCAGACGTGAATCTGTAACGGCGTTCATATTTAACCTGCTTTGGTGTCATTAGTAGAATATCTGGCTGCAGCTGTAATATCGGGAGCTGTGAATATCCTCGGCCCGGGGAGAGAGTTTTGCCCGCAGCTCGGAGTGTAATTATAGTTATTCCCAATGGGTTCACACAAACACCTCTTTGCCAAGCCGCGTTGCTTTGACTGAGAAGGAACCAGAGTCTGTTTCAAAGGCCGGAGCTGCTGGTATCTGTCCTCTGACAGCAGTCTTTGAATAATAACGCTGCGCTCTGGATGCATCTGACATTGAACAAATTCCCCAGCCGCACAGGCCCACTGGCAACCTTCGCTGTACAAAATGGTGGCAGTAGATCAAAATGAAGGATGAGAAGGCAGTGACAGCTGGAGAATGAGATATATTAGACACCGCGCATAAAAACATGGTGTACGCTAGGATTTTATTTTTGAGGCTGAACTCCAGGCATGATCTGCGTTGCATGCTTACATTGTTTCAGCTTGGCACAATGAGAGTATGTGTATCTCATACCTGGGGGCTGCTGGGGAGGCTGACAATCCCTGTAGTAGTCAGTGCTACTACGATGATGGCTGCAGTCTTCCAGGTACCGTGCTGAGAGGCTGTCCTTCTGCTCACTGTCCACTGGGGGTGCTCAGTCAGGACAGCCACCATTCATATAATGCCTTGTGTACATATATTTTTTTTATCAATACATGGTGTTTTCTGATTGGATGAGGTAGAGAGGAGGGGAAGTGATATCATGATCTCCACTTTGTCCCTTCTGAACAATGATCACAGGGGGTGCTTGCTGTGTACAGCCACCATTCATAGAATGCCTTTTTTTTAATCAATACATGCATTTTTCTGATTGGATGAGGTGGAGAGGAGGGGCAGTGATGTCACTATCTTCACTTTGTCCCTCTTGCACAGTGACCACAGGGGTGCTTGCTGTGTACAGCCACCATTCATAGAATGCCTTTTTTTTTCTCCAATACAAGGCATTCGCTGATTGGATGAGGTGGAGAGGGGCAGTGATGTCACTATCTCCACTTTGTCCCTTCTGCACAATGACCACAGGGGGGGTACTTGCTGGGTACAGCCACCATTCATAGAATGCCTTATTTTGTTTTCAATACAAGGCATTCTTTGATCAGATAAGGTGGAGAGGAGTGGTTGTGATGTCCCTATATCCAACTCTTCCCTTCTGCACACTGACCACAGAGAGCGCTTGCTTGATGAGGTGTGGTGATGTCACAAGCTCGCCCTTGTTCCTCTGTACACTGACCTCAGGGGGTTGCTTGCTCAGCACTGCTGCCATTCAAAGAACAGCTTGTGTTTTTCTCAATACAAAGCTTTCGCTGATTGGATGAGGTGGAGAGGAGGGGGCAGTGATGATATCTCAATGTCCTCCAATCACAGAATGTCTTGTACTCCCGTGAATGGCAGCAGTGTTCCCCCTGTGGTTATTGTATAGAGGGGAAGCCGCTCACTCAGCATTTGCCACTGTTCACAGGGCCTAAAGGCTTTCTTTAATTGGACAAGGTGGTGATGCTGAGATCTCCTCCTCGCCCAGTCAATGAATGTCTTGTATTCCTGTTAATGGTGGCAGTGCCAAGCAAGGTTACATATACAGCGGGTAATATAGGTATTGAACATGTCACCAATAAAACACTGCCTATACTCGCCGTGCATCGGAGTCTGGGTACGTGGTGACGTCGGTGCCCCTCCCCAACGCGTTGCGCCACAGGGTCACGTGGCTTCGTCCGGGGGATATGATTGCTTCAATCACGGCGGGTATAGGCAGTGTGAGCCCACACGCCGCTCAGGCTGGATACAGTTTTTATATCAAAAGCGCTTTGTTGGCTTTTATCTAGTAAGTGCGCAATTGGCACTAATAAATCTCTATGCTTATGTTTTGGGATAAGGCACTATTCCTTTCTTGTTTTTTTCTGGCAATACGCTGAGCAACAGGGAGAAAATAAACAGCAACTCTTGGAGGGAAGATCAGTACTGTAGCGAAATACACCCCCAGTCCAGGATTTATTTACGGCAGAACAGTAGGAGCAAAAGAGGAAAAACATTCAGTCTTCTACTAATAGAACACCAAGTAACTCATTTCATCTTGAGAGGTGTCATTTTGGAAATCATGTGAACAGTCCATTTGCAGTATATAGTCCCACTTAGATGGGATTTGATATATGAAGGGATTATCAATTCTATTGGACATTTATGAATTCTTTCTAAATTTATTTATTCATTTAATTATTCTTTCAATTCTATTGGACATTTATGAACTATTCTTTCTAAATTTATTTATATTTATTTATTTTCATCCACATTATTTTTTTAGATTATTTATTTATCTTTTTTTTTTTTTTTTTTATGGATTTTATGGATGTATATTAATGAGTGTATCTTTACTTTATTATTTTTTTTTATCAGGAGTAATTAAGGGTAAATTTATTTATTGATCATTGAATATTATTTACTATAAATTGATTTTATTTATTTATTCACGGTTTTTACATAAGGGCGCGGCACTACTTTTCACTTTTTTTTTGCTAATGTTGTATATTTAATGAGAATATAGCTAGGTGCTAGCGAACTTATTCTAGAACAAATATTTATAGTGGCTCATAGGATATTTCCAATTTAGGATTGCTTTCTAATTACTGATAGATTTCAGCTGTTGTCTTGGCTTTCCATGTCTTTTCGCACCTCCCTTTCTTCATTCAATACTTTTTCCCCTGTCATTCCACTTTATTACAAACAACTTTAATTTCTGAACGTATTTGTTTTGGTTTCTTTGTATGTATGGATTGCATGGGTTGTTACCAACATGTGGTGAAAATTTCATGTCAATAGCACCTTTAGACATTTACCAAGAAAAATAATGACGTGTTCAGTACTTTGTACCTGCTGTATATTATACATTCACATCAGTCCCTAACCTTAAGGGGTGTACAATCTAAGGTCCCTAACTCACATTCATACATACACATATTAGGGACAATTTAGACAGGAGCCAATTAACCTACCAGCATGTCTTTGGAGTAGTACAAGTCATTCTCTGATTAGATAAGGTGGAGATCATGACATAACTGCTCCCCCCCACCTTGTTCAATCAGAGGGTGCCTTGTATTGAAAAAAAAGCATGTCTGCATTTTTCCGCAGTGCAACGGATGGCACTGCATGTAACTGCACAACAGTGCAACACCCTACCCTGCTGTGCAATGATATTAACCTCCTTAGCGGTATTCCCGAGTGTAGTTCGGGGGGTAAAATTTCAATACCAAGAGCGGTAACCTCGAGCTACACTCGGGCTTACCATACGGCGTTGTTCAGGGAGTCCCTGCAGCACTTACCTTGTCCTTCGCACCTGCGATGTGTCCCCCCCTGCAGCGTCCCCGGCCATCTCCTCCAGCCGATTCCGGCATCTGGCTTCTGTGTTCCGGTCCCTGTGACGTCGGGACGTACGGGCGCCGGAACCGGCGGAAAATTTGAAATTTTTAAAAAATGTCATTTTTGCTGTCATTGCTGTTTCAATGCATTTCACATATATTTTGTCCCTACTGCTTTGTCCTGTGACCTGCCTGCATTTTGAATGTTCTTTCTGCCTGGAAACTTAGAAAAGTCCATGGCGTCCAAAAAGTGTCCCTTTACGTCATAAGCGGTTTTTAGAACAGCGATAGTAAATCAGAACCACTTGCAGAATTGAGTGATAATGATTCGTGGGGGAAATTCGTCATCAGACACTGAAAACGATTTTGCGACTTTGCTCAGCGATGTGCGAATTTGCCTCTGTATTTCAAATTTCAGTGTTTTTGGTTTGAATATATTATTGAATTAAATGTATTACTATTATATTATTATTTTTTATGATTATTTATTAAATTATAATTTATGATTTCGTGTTTCAAGTTTTATCATATCCGGAATGTTTACTAGACTCTTGTTCAGACAGATTTCAGTGAATTATTTCTAAATATTACAGCCTACAATAAAAAACTACACATTTCCATGCAAAAAAATGTACCGCTTTCAGCACAAAAAACTGGAAAGAATCATACCGCCGAGGAGGTTAACTGCTTCCCGACCGCCCTATAGCAAAAGTACTGCTACAGGGTGGCAGGGATGCACAAAATCACACATATATAGGTGTTTTTGCTTTTTCAGGTAGGGGGCGTGCACTCTTCCTACCCGCGCCACTATTGGCTCCTTGGCATGTCAATCACTGGGTCCCGGCTGCCGATTCTTGGCAGGGACTTTGTGATCGTCGGCGGAGCTGACAGGGGAGAGGTCTGTATGTAAACAACACAGATCTCCCCCCTGTCAGCATGAACAGGCTGCTTTGTATTGCTCTGCACAGCACAACAATACAAAGCAGCTTGTCTACATAGTAAAACACACACAGCACACTGTTAACCCTTTGATCGCCCCAGATATTAACCCCTTCCTGCCCAGTGCCGTCAGTACAGTGTCAGTGCTTTTTATTAGCACTGATCACTGTATTAGTGTCACTGGGGATGTCAGTTGCAGTTAGTCAGTTCCTCCCAGTGCCAGAATGCCCACCACAGTCCCGCAATACGTCGCTAATTGCCACCATTACTAGTAAAATAAAGAAATAAAAAATCCCAGTATATATACTGCCATTTGTAAATGCTAGAACTTTCACGTAAACCAATTCATTTACACGTATTGGGATTTTTTTTTTTTTTTAGCAAAGACATGGAGCAGAATACATTTTGGCCTAAATTTATGATGAAATTTAATTTGTAAAATTTTTTTTACTGAACGTGTTTTATAGCAAAAAGTCAAAATACAATTATATATATATATATATATATATATATATATATATATATATATTTATATATATATATTTTTGGTCTTTTTTTGTTTATAGCTCAAAAGAAAAGCGCACAGATGATCAAATACCACCGAAAGAAAGCTCTATTTGTGGAAAAAAAAAGGACACATTTAATTTATGTACAAAGTTGCATGACTGCGCAATTGTCAAAGTAACGCAGCGCCTTGTCAGGCTGAAGGGGGGGGAAATCCTCTGGAGGGCAAGTGGTTAATTTGCTCTGTGTAGTATTTAAGGACACTATGGTTAAAAAAAACGAAGGATTATTTTGGTGAAGTTGACTGTTGGGACCTCTAATAGAAATGTTATTCCTGTCTCTTGATTCTCCTAATCACAGTCTGGAGGAGGAGTCGGCGTCACCACTTTGCACAGCACCGTTACAGGGGCGCAATCTGGAACTCCACAGAGACATGAAGAGAATGACGGCAGCGTTTGAGAAACTGAAGACGTACATCTCCCTCCTCGCCTTACCCAGTGAGTCTGAGCTGCTGTTCAGTTCTGGATGTTTTATTTGTATGATTTATTTTTATTTCCTCTCTAGTTTGTATGGAACACCTACTCCCATTTATACTGACATATACAGCACTGTGCGAAAGTCTTAGGCAGGTGTGAAAAAATGCTGTAAAGGAAGAAGGCTTTTTATTTTTATCAAAATGGAAAGTAAATGAACAGAAGAGAAATCCAAATCAAATCAATATTTGGTGTGACCACCATTTGCCCTCAAAACAGCATCAATTCTTCTAGGTACACTTACACACACAGCCAATGTCACTATGAACTATCTTCAGTGGAAAGTAGAACAAGGAGTCCTGGAAGTGATGGTTTGGCCCCCACAGAGCCCTGATCTCACCATCATGCAGTCTCTCTGAGATTACATGAAGAGACAGAAGGATTTGAGGCAGCCTACATCCACAGAAGATCTGTGCTTAGTTCTCCAACATGTTTGGAACAACCTACCTGCCAAGTTCCTTCAAAAAAAAATGCAAGTCATACCTGTGCGATTTCGGAATTGATATCGCATCTAATGAATGTGAATGTCAGTGTCTTAACGTGCCATTTGCTGCAGCAGTAGTTCTTGCATTACTTTCTCTGCAGTTTTGTTGCGATTTCACATACATAGAATATAATGGAAATCGAACTGCAAATTGCAAGAAATCGTTAAAATCTTCACAAGTAGCAATAAAGACTTCAGAAATCGTATGTGAAATCATGCTAAAATCGCAGCGGCGTGACCAGTAACTTAGTGTACCTAGAAGAATTGATGCTGTTTTGAAGGCAGAGGGTGGTCACACCAAATATTGATTTGATTTGGATTTCTCTTCTGTTCATTTAATTCTTGTTTTGTTAATTGATTAAATAAACTATGACATTACTATTTCTGAAAGCATTCTTAATTTACAGCATTTTTCACGTGTGTGTTTTAAACCCTTCACGCTGGCACCTCTTGCCCCTTTAAGAGTTTCAGAAACCAGGAGGCGGGGTTTAGAGTAATGTGTCACGTGATCGGGAAAGTCCCGATTGAAAGAGGAGATCGTGACCTTTCCGTAGTACCGGACATTTGTGCAGGGAGCGCGCAGGCGCACTCTCAGCACATATGTTCTTTTTAATGGAACGCAAATGTGCGGCCGTTAGGCGTCCAAGCCCAGACGCCGGGAGGCCGCACATTTGCGTTTGGTCGGCATGAAGAATTTAAAGGAGATCTATGGTCATAGCGTACACTTTCATTTTATAATATCAGCATTGTAATACCAATACAAACAACAGTTAATTCTGACCAGTTCAATATAAGATTACTTGATAAATCTTCTTTCATGTTGTGAATGCTGTCCGTCTTTCCGCAACTTCCTGGTTTCTCGCCATGATTTGCAGCTTCTCCTCTGTCGTTTACTTTCAATTTGTAAACACTACAAATCCCATGGTACCTTGCTGCCTTCAAGCAGTGATTCCTGTACTGGCTCCGCCTCCTCTCAGCACCTCTGTAGTTCAGAAGGCAGGCTCTGTGATGTGTGTGACACAGCAGTGCCTATCACAGGACATAGTGACTACAAGTTACGGAAATCAAAGAAGGAAATGTGTGGGGATCTTCACAAATTAGGTTTACAAATTTAAAGCGGAGTTCCACCTGAGAACAAAAAAAAAAGTCAGCAGCTACAAAAACTGTAGCTGCTGACTTTTAAAATACAGACACTTACCTGTCTTTCAGTCCCGCGCGGTGTCCTCACCACGGCTGGTTTCACCAGCCGTCTTCTCTCCCTGGCATCTTCAGTGTGGGCACCCGGCTGTGACAGCTTGCGGCTTCACAGCCGGGTGCCGACTTCGAATGTGTGAGTAGCGCTGCGTTTTTTGAATGGCTCCGTAGTCTTCTGGGACCTGTCACATGTCCCAGAAGACTACGGGGAGGGAAGGGAGGAGGGGGAGGACGACTTCCACTTCCGATCGCCTTCCACTTCCGATCGCCTACGTGGGAGCAGGTACCTGTCAAATTCACCCCCCCTCCACTCCCCAAAGGTGGGGAGTGGGGGACAAAGGCTTAAAGCAGAACTTACCCTTTTGGGTGGAGCTCCGCTTTAAGGATAGTTCAGATTTATATGAGCAAGCTATAAATAATTGATATACTGAAAATTAATATAAGATTTTACATTTTGACCATAGATGCACTTTAACATAAATGCAAAGCAAACACTGTACTTCCCAGATCATGTTTTCCTGCATTTAAATAAAACAAACACCGAAAACCTGTATAAATGATTTTGTTCCCTAGGAGAGCAGGATTTGTAATCACTATGAATGGAAATTTTCTAAGAACGACACTAGTTCCGCTGACAGCCACAGAACCTGACTTTGCAGGGATTTCCCTTGCTTCCTTTTTTGGCTATGGGACAGGAAGTGAAGGTAAATCTCCCCAATGGCAAAAAAAATAAACTGGAAGGAGTTCTAATCCTCCCTGGGAGCGGGGAGGTGGATTGAAATGACAGATAAGTCACTTCAAAGCGGTAGTAAACCACACAAAAAAAAGAAAAACCCCTGCAAGGTTTAAGACATAATGTGCTAGTATGCATACTAACACATTATGAAGGACTTACCTTGAAAAAAAGCCCTCCAGCAGAGCACTGTCACGGCTCCCCGGGGCTTCCATCTTCACCTGGTCCTCCTTCCGGGTTCGCAAGCTCTGGCTGGCTGACTGGCCGAGCCTCGATGACGTCATTCCCATGCATGCGATGGGAGTCCCAGGCCATAGCACAGTGCTCAGAAGGAACAGCAGAGCGCATGCGCCGAATATCAAAAAGGGATAACTTGAACCGTTTAGGAGATATTAATTTTATCTACAGGTAAGCTTTATTATAAGTTTACTTGTAGGTAAAGATATTAAAGAAGATTTTACTACCACTTTAAAAGTCCATAGAAGTCACTATGCAGATGGCTGCTGCTCCTCTGTAGAGGATATCACTCTGTAGTCTGTGAAAACAAAAGAAGCTGGGAGTGCCACCATCTAAGTGTAGATACCAAAACCAAAAAGCAGTTATAAATGCACTCACATCGGTGTGTAGATAAAAGCATGGAGCAGAGCTCGGTAGGGTCAGGGCTGGGTAGGCAGAGCAGCGCCGGGAAGTGGCTGCAGGATCTTATACAGAGTTTGCCATGGAAGCGCTACTGAAGACTGCAGATCCGTATAGTAGGCAGCCAGGATGAAGATCGCCTTCGAGAGCACCGCCAACCAGGGGCTGGCATCAGGAGGAGGAGCAGCAGGATGTCGTGGATGTTACATTTACAACATAACATGGGAGGGCACTTTTAAAATAATTATAACACAAATAAATATTTATATATATATATATATATATATATATATATATATGTATATATGTGTGTGTATATAGATTAGATATAAATTTATATATATATATATATATATATATATATATATATATATATATACACACACACACACACACACAGGTCCATATATATTTGGACACAGACACAATTTTAGTTTTTTCAGGTATTTACCAAAACATATTCAAGCTATAGTTATATAATGGATATGGGCTGAAAGTGCACACTCTCAGGTTTAATTTGAAGGTATGTACATCCAAATTGGAGGAAGGGTTTAGGAATTACAGCTCTTAAGAGTAGCCATCCCCCCTTTTTCAAGGGACCAAAAGTAATTGCACAGTTGAATATAATCATAAATAAAATATTCATTTTTAATATTTTGTTGAGAATCCTTTACTGGCAATGACTGCCTGAAGTCTGGAACCCATAGATATTACCAGAGACTGGGTTTCCTCATTTCTGATGTTTTGCCAGGCTCTACTGCAGCTGTCTTTAGTTGTTCTTTGTGAGTCTTTCTGCCTTTAGTTTTGCAGAATACCCGACTTCTTTTCTTTCAAAAGCTCCTGGGTTGCTTTTGTGTGTTTTGGATCCTTGTCCATCTGTATTGTGAAGCTCTGTCCAATCTCTCCAATTTGGATGTACATACCTTCAAATTAAACCTGAGAGTGTGCACTTTCAGACCATATCCATCATATAACTATAGCTTGAATATGTTTTGGTAAATACCTGAAAAAACTAAAATGTGTCTGTGTCCAAATGTATATGGACCTGTGTGTGTGTATGTGTGTATGTATGCATGTCTGTGTATATATATATATATATGTGTGTGTGTGTGTGTGTGTGTATATGTGTGTGTATATATGTGTGTGTGTGTGTATATATACATACATACATACATACATACATACATTTTTCTTTTTTTCTTGGCTCCTCTCAGCCAGTTCATGGGGTCACAAGCTGATGGAGGACAAGCTTTGTATTCGAGGTCATAGAGCTCTCCGACATGTTTAGTATGACGTGAGGTTTACCCATTGCTTTTTTCCCTTTACAAGAAGAGCCTACTTAGAAGAGAGATGGAGATACAGAAGAGTGTGTGTCTGAATAGACATCTAATGAAAAGCTCATTCCTTCTGAGTCAGAACATCCAATCTCCCCTTTGTACAAGGTCTGGAATACAAATGTCAGCCTCTCCACTACATTAACTTGGTTTTCCAGCCTTTGATGGATGGATGTTTTTTTTTTTTTTCCTTTTTCTGGCTTTTTTCAACCACTCTTTCCTTTCTGTCTCTAGAACATGTCAGGTCATATTTTTAAAAAAGTTCTAGTATAGCAATCAGAACTCCCAAGCTTGGAGGACAAAGACGACAAAGGGGGATGACACATGAGTGAATGTGGATGCCATTGTGTACTGGTTTGCTCTGTCCTCTGGAAGGGCAAATATAAATCTAGATGTCACACGGAATATCAGAATTAGATTTGTGTGATTCAGATTCATTGTGGAAGTTCAGTGTGTTTTGTAAAGGGAAAACTGTTGTTTGCTATCAGATCCCCCATAATACTGGGAATTGTGGGGGTGAGGGAAGGGGTCATTGTATAAGATTTAGCCTAAGTTCACACTGTGAACTGCATGTGAATTGTACCGCATTCCTTTGCGATTTGATTCTATTCTTTTTGGATGGCTCAGATCACACTGCATCTGCACTGAAATGTTGCAGGTAGTTTTTTTTTTGTTTTTTATTTTTTGTTTTTAAATTTGCGTTGTAGCCGGATCACATCAAATGCACTGACTATGTTACCTGCTTTTGGGGTGTGATTTAACTTTCCGTTGACACCTGCAGCAGATCACGGAACAGTGCGATTGATATGTGGTGTGGGAAATGCACAGGAATTGCTGCGTTTCCTGCACTACATCACTGTGAACTGGTGCTTTGTATGGTTTGCTTTAGCAGACCTTCCAGTTCTTTCAAGTATGCAGAAATCTTGAAGTCAGATTAGATTACATATTCTTTGGTCCTTTTTTTTTTTTCTAATTCAGTGGTGTCCAACCTAAAAGGGCCCAAGGGCCACTTTATAGTCACAAGTGGAGTGGCTGCATATAAATCATTCATTTTATTTTCTTCATACAGAATATCCAATTGGCTTTTGGATGCGCTGTGAGCGGATGGTGAGGTGGGAGGAATGGGCTGCGATCGGGTGATGCAATGGGAGGGATGAGCTGCGAGCAGGTGGTGAGGTGAGAGGGATGTGCTACGAGCAGGTGGTGTGGAGGGTGGGATGGGCTGCGACCGGTTGGTGCGTTGGGAGGGATGAGCAGGTGGTGCGGTGGGAGGGATGCACTGCGAGTGGGTGGTGAGGTGGGAGGGATGAGCTGCAAGCGGGGGGGGGGGGGGGGGGGAGTGTGGTGAGGTGGGAGGGATACGCTCTGAGTGGGTGATGCGGTGGGAAGAATGGGCTGCGAGCAGGTGGTGCGGTGGGAAGGATGGGCTTTCGAGCTGGTGGTGAGGTGGGAGGGATAGGCTGCAAGCGGGTGGTTCGGTGGGAGGGATGAGCTGCAAGCGGGTGGTGCGGTGGGAGGGATGAACTGTGAGTGGGTGGTGAGGTGGGAGGGATGCGCTCCCAGTGGGTGGTGCGGTGGGAGAGATGGGCTGCGAGCAGGTGGTGAGGTGGGAAGGATGGGCTTTCGAGCTGGTGGTGAGGTGGGAGGGATGGGCTGCAAGCGGGTCGTGCGGTGGGAGGGATGAGCTGCAAGTGGGTGGTGTGGTGGGAGGGATGAGCTACGAGCAGGTGGTGAGGTGGGAGGGATGGGCTGCGGGCAGGTGGTGAGGTGTGAGGGATGCGCTCCGAGCAGGTGGTGCGGTGGGAGAGATGGGCTGAGAGCGGGGTGGTGTGGTGGGAGGATGGGCTGCGAGCGGGGTGGTGTGGTGGGAGGGATGGGCTGCGAGCGGGTGGTGTGGTGGGAGGGATGGGCTGCGAGCTGGTGGTGGTGTGGTGGGAGGGATGGGCTGTGAGCGGGTGGTGTGGTGGGAGGGATGGGCTGTGTGAGCGGGTGGTGTGGTGGGAGGGATGGGCTGCGAGCGGGTGGTGTGGTGGGAGGGATGGGCTGCGAGCTGGTGGTGTGGTGGGAGGGATGGGCTGCGGGTGGTGTGGTGGGAGGGATGGGCTGCGAGCAGGGGTGGTGTGGTGGGAGGGATGGGCTGCGAGAGGGTGGTGCTGTGGGAGGGATGAGCTACGAGCGGGTGGTGCTGTGGGAGGGATGGGCTGTGGGAGGGATGGGCTGCGAGCTGGTGGTGCTGTGGGAGGGATGGGCTGCAAGAGGGGGGAGCAGTGGGAGAGATGGGCTGCGAGAGGGTGGTGCTGTGGGAGGGATGGGCTGCGAGAGGGTGGTGTGCTGTGGGAGGGATGGGCTGCGAGCGGGTGGTGCTGTGGGAGGGATGGGCTGCGAGCGGGTGTGCGGTGGGAGGGATGAGCTGCGAGCGGGTGGTGCGGTGGGAGGGATGGGCTGCGAGCGGGTGGTGCTGTGGGAGGGATGGGCTGCGAGCGGGTGGTGCTGTGGGAGGGATGGGCTGCGAGAGGGTGGTGCGGTGGGAGGGATGGACAGCGAGAGGGTGGTGCTGTGGGAGGGATGGGCTGCGAGAGGGTGGTGCGAGTAGTGGTGAGGTGGGAGGGATGGGCTGCGAGAGGGTGGTGCTGTGGGAGGGATGGGCAGCGAGAGGGTGGTGCTCTGAGGGGGATGCGAGGGCAGCGAAGAGGGTGGTGCTGTGGGAGGGATGGGCTGCGAGAGGGTGGAGCTGCGAGTAGTGGTGAGGTGGGAGGGTGAGCTGCGAGAGGGTGGTGCTCTGGGAGGGATGGGCAGCGAGAGGGGTGGAGGGTAGTGCTGTGGGAGGGATGGGCTGCGAGAGGTGGAGCTGCGAGTAGTGGATGGCAGCGTGGGAGGGTGGTGCTGTGGGCTGGGATGAGGCAGCGGTGGAGGGTGGTGCTGCGAGAGGGTGGTGCTGTGGGAGGGAGGCTGAGAGGGTGGAGCTGCGAGTAGTGGTGAGGTGGGAGGGATGGGCTGCGAGAGGGTGGAGCTGCGAGTAGTGGTGAGGTGGGAGGGATGGGCTGCGAGAGGGTGGTGCTGTGGGAGGAGGGATGGGCAGCGAGAGGGTGGTGCTGTGGGAGGGATGGGCAGCGAGAGGGTGGTGCTGTGGGAGGGATGGGCTGCGAGAGGGTGGTGCTGTGGGAGGGATGGGCAGCGAGAGGGTGGAGCTGCGAGTAGTGGTGAGGTGGGAGGGATGGGCTGTGAGAGGGTGGAGCTGCGAGTAGTGGTGAGGTGGGAGGGATGGGCTCCCTGCACTCCCTTGCTGCAGTTCTGCTGCCTTCTGCCACGTCTCTTGGTGTACCTACTTACCCTTTCCTCCTGAGACTTTTACTGCAGACTTTTCTATTACAAACACGCAAATGTTCACTGTGCAGACTTTCTATTACAAACACGCAAATGTTACAAACTGTTCACTGTGCCGCTCCTAGTAACTCGCATTCCAGAAACGTTAATTGCAGGTCTGGTCCCGAACCAACATTTGTGTAAGCTGGAGCTATCCTTTAATAGTCCTTCGCTCACAGCGCCGTGTGTCTGGTGTCCTTAATAGACGTGTGTGTAATAATCCAGCATTAGCATACAGTGTTTCTCCAGGGGCTCTCTGCAATATTAATGATCCGATTCCCATCCTAATAATCTATTTTTACTAATTATTCCAGGCACAAATCCAGAGGGTTTGCTGAGAGCCAACTATGGCTCCATCCTGACACAGATTTCAGGCTCTCTCCACGGACTTCATGATATATTGAAAGGTAATGTTTAGAACAATACTTCATTTATTCGCTGACTGCTGCTCTCTGTAATCAGATGCACACAGAACATTATCGCCACTGTATTTCTGAAGAGGATTTGAGGATCTACTTTTTTTTTTTTTTTTGGTGGAAAAATTACCTTCATACAGCCTGTGATCCTAATTCACGGCTCCAGTCTGCATCTTCTCACCATACAAACGGTATCTGTATAATCAATACTGTAGATCAGAATGGAAACATCCTCAAATTTGTAATCAGCCTTTAAAGTGGTTCCAAAGGCAAACTTTTTTTTCTCTAAAATAAAAGATGTTGTATGCACCTGCTCTGTGCAATAGTTTTGCACAGAGCTCTCCTGGTCCTCCTCCTCTGGAGTCCCCTGCTGGCTTTCCTCTTCTTAAGAGTGCCCCCTGAGCAAGCCATGTGGGGGCACTCATGTGGGCTCGCTCCCGTGCCGGACTGTATGCATATACATAGACACACACAGCATGGCTAGGCCATGCCCCCTGCACACAGAATTTGACCATTTGACAGCAGTGGGAGCCTATGACTCCTGCTGCTCTGTCTGTCCTCTGAGAGGAAGAGAAGCTCTCCTGCAGATGGCCACAGTGCTGGATAGAGAGAGGAGTCATGTAAGTGTCTTTGGAAGGGAGGGGGGAAATTTTTTTACCTTTAAAGAAGAACTACGGAAAACAATTTCCATGTGTTACTGTTCCCACAATGCATGGTTTAACTGCTCGTTTTTTTTTCTAGGGATTCGGATAGATTGCCTAATCTGCCAATCCTCTGAGCGCTGCTGCTCCTCCTCAAGGTAGCGGTCTTGTGTGTGGACTGTTCCTGATGTCATCACACTCATAGACTGGCTCTGAATGTGTGGACAGCAGGAACAGTCCCACCGCTGGACATGGGGGAGCTCCGTTTTCTGGGGAATCTAAGGACCTGGTATGTATAGTTTTTCTGTGCACCCCTGGATAAAATGAGCAGTCAACCCATGCAGTGGGGAAACGGTTGCACTGCATGGGAAAATTTTTTTTTCATGGAGTCCTTCTTTAATGCATTCCACTGCTGTGAAATACAGCCAGTGAGAAAGGAGCAGGGGGCAAGGCTGAGCCACGCTGTATGTCTTATGGACACACAGAGCAGGTCAGGAGCGAGCACGCACCTGTGCCCCCATAGCATGCTGCTTGCCATGAGGGCCCTTGGGGAGAGTGGACAGGAGCACCAGCAGGGGGGCCTGCGAAGAGAAGGATCGGACTGTTCTGTGCAAAAACCATTGCACAGTGCAGGTCAGTATAACATGCTTGTTATTTACAGAAAAAAAAAAACTTTTTCGTTTAGTATCTCTTTTAAAGCTCAAGTTTGCTGTCACAATACCTCAGCAGTGACTGCAACTGACTCAATGCATACACTGTTTGGCCGACAATTTTCCATTTGACTCCTTTGACAAAAGTTGATTGAAAAATGATCTTTTTGGTGAGTCAGGTGGTGCTGACAGGACTATCCATGGCACGATCTTGGCAGGAATTGTTAGAAATTCGATCTTTCCCTGGCAGCCTGAAGCTTGGGGGGGGGGGGGGTGTCGACACTGTGGGGGAGATTTACTGGAGAGTGCAAAATCTGGTGCAGCTCTGCATAGAAACCAATCAGCTTCCAGGTTTTATTGCCAAAGCTTAATTGAACAAGCTGAAGATAGAAGCTGATTGGCTCCAGGTTTAGTAAATCTCCCCTGTTAGTCTACTTTAGCACACCTAAGATGGCTCTGGAACCCGGAGCTCTAGTCCTAGTTCTACTAGGACTAGATATATTGATATAGATAGATATAGATAGATATAGATAGATATAGATATATATATATATATATATATAGATTCACCACTACTCCAGTGATCTCCACTAGCTTTTGGTTCTCATGCTGAGCAGCTGTTTTCTCAACACAAGAGTTCGGCCGCTCGAGAATGACACCATTCAGAGAATGTTTTAATTTTTCTGAATGAATGTAACAAATTCTCTGATTGGACGAGGTAGAATGTGTGATGACAAACCCTGCCTCTCCACCTTGTCCAATAAGAGAATGCTTTGCATCCATTCAGAAAATGCAAAACATTCTCTGAACGGCACCCATGTTTGAGTGGCAGACCTCCTGTGTTCAGAATTCAGCAGAGCAGCTACTCAGTGCAGGACCTGCAAGCAGGTGGAAATCACTGGAGTATAAGTGTCTGCCTCAGAGATTTCCAACTTCCAGTGGCATCGGTCAGGTATGGCATATGCATAGTTACAGATCAGCTGAATCACTGTAAATATCACAAAAAAAAAGTAGGATTATTCCATATCAAGTGTGCTGAAGGACTGTGAAGAATTAAAGGATAACTTCAGCTCTGGGAAAAAAAAAAAAAAAAGCATATTTTTTTTGCAGGTAAAAAAATATGCGTTTTTATTATTTTTTGTTTCTGGAGTTCAAAAGCATTGCACCAGTGATCAGCAGATTGCTGGTGCCATGCAGGTCTCCTTCTGGCCTGTCAGTATATCAGCTAGCTTGTACATCCCGTATGGACAAGCAGATACTTACTGGCAGGAATGCTCAATGAACTACCACGACGTTGTCGGAACTTGCAGTTTACCCATTCACAGAATACTGTGAATGGGTGACATGGCTGGCCGGGCAGGTGGACAGAACCCGCGTGTTTTTAAAATTGTGACAGCTAGTGGGGAGGAGAAGATCCCCCGCTAGCTGTCACAATGGGGATCGGGGGAATTTGTTAGGGTTTGTGCGGGGGCCGGTCCATTCGTAACATGTACATGTTACGAAAGGTGAACTTATCCTATAAAGAACTGGTAGGGAAACTTTCCCTACTCTACAAAAAAATGGTTGTCATTGCTGTTCTCACTGTGCACTTCTTCTATAAGCTGCTTCTTTCAGCCTTTGCTTCAGGTGTATTACTCATTAGAATGTGTTCATGCCTATTTTTACTTGTTTATGTCATTGCAGAGCTTTCCAAGCACTACACTCATAAAGCTGCACTTGAACAGGATCTGCCATCTGCCACAGATAAACTTAAAACTACAAATGATTGCATCTTGTCTTCACTAGTCGCTCTGACCAACGCAGCCAGCAAGGTAGTGATATCCGTTCCACCAATTCTTTATTTTTTTTATCCTAGGTTATGGGATCATGGTTGTGGATCTTGCTCTGTTATCTGCTTCCGCTTTTATGAGAATTGTTTGTGAGATTACGTATTGATAATTGAAATAATATCATGAAATAATCCCTGCTCTAGCCAAAACGAAGAAAAATTGATTTAGATGTAAAGTACTTTGCCATTCAAAAACATTTGTGGTATATAAGTGGTTAGAGTGGCGGATGCTTCTTTCTGCAGCGCCGTTTGTAATAGGCATTGCAGAAATCGCCCACAGGTGGTCAGTGCGCCAAGTAATTGCTCAGTCTACAGACGAAAATCTGAGTAGCAGTCACACCAATCACAAATACAAACATCGTAGCATTAACATTGTAGAGCTCTTCCCCTTTCTCTTACAGCAGAGGAAGGAGGAACTAAAGAATGACGAAGTCATTTGACCAGATCAGCGAATCCCAATGTTGTGGAATCGTCTTTTAGCCATGGTTCACATGTGCAGGTGGTGCTGCTGCAGATCCGTGCGAAAATCCGTGCAGCCTCACCACTGACACACCCCCGCTCCCCCTCCTCGCTCCTCTCCCCCGCTCACTCTCGCTCCCCCCCTCCTCACTCTCTCTCTCTCCCTCTCTCTCTCACCTCGCTCACTCTCGCTCACTCTCTCCCTCCTCTCGCTCACTCTCTCTCTCACTCCCACTCTCTCTCCCCCACTCTCTCCACTCCCTCTCTCCCTCCACACACACCCTCTCGCTCACACCCCCCCCCTCTCTCTCTCTCTCCCCCCCCCCCCCCTCCCTCCCCCCCCCCCACCTCTCCCTCACCCCTCCCCCCCTCCCCCTCCCCCCCCCCCCCCCCCCCCCCCCTCCCCTCCCCCCCCCCCCCCCCCTCCCCCCCCACCCCCCCCCCCCCCCCCCCCCCCCCCCCCCCCCCCCCCCCCCCCCCCCCCCCCACCCACCCCCCCCCCTCCTCCCCCCCCCCCCCCCCCCCCCCCCCCCCCCCCCCCCCCCCCCCTCCCCCACCCCCCCTCTCCTCCCTCCCCCTCCCCCCCCCCCCCCCCCCCCCCCTCCCTCTCCCCTATCACCTATCTCTCCCCCCCCCCCTCTCTCTCTCTCCCCCCCCCCCCCCCCCCCCCCCCCCACACTCTCTCCTCCTCACTCTCACCCCGCTCCCCCCCCCCTCTCCCCACCCTCCCTCCCCTCCCTCCTCACTCTCCTCCCTACCCCCCTCCCCCCCCCGCCCCTCCTCCCCCCCCCCCCCCCCCCCCCCCCCCCCCCCCCCCCCCCCCCTCCCTCCCCCCCTCCCCCCTCCTCTCCCCCCTCCCTCACTCACTTCTAGCGCAGCATTTTTCAACTGGGGTGCCTTGAGGTTGTCTCAGGGGTGCTTTGGCAAAATGTCTAGAAGTTGCCCAAATCTTGCCTCCGGCATCCTGACAAGCAGTGATGTCCTTTGCCTGAACAGCATCCTTGTTTGACCCTCCTTTGCCACTCTCTGTCACTGCTGGGGTCACATCAGCTCATTGATGGAGAAAAACTGAGGGAGAAGAGACACTGGAATGCCAGTCAGTACCAGGGTGAAAAGGTATATTTGCTTTGGAAGAATACATCGCCTCTATTGTTGGGTGTCTTATGTGTGTGGATGTTGCTGCGTTATATAAAGCAATTAGAATAGTTTTTTGCATTTTAGAATGGGGTGCCTCAAGACTGTCCATAATTTTTAAGGGTGCCTCGGGACTGTCCATAATTTTTAAGGGTGCCTCGGGACTGTCCATAATTTTTAAGGGTGCCTCGGGACTGTCCATAATTTTTAAGGGTGCTCGGGACTGTCCATAATTTTTAAGGGTGCCTGGGGACTGTCCATAATTTTTAAGGGTGCCTCGGGACTGTCCATAATTAACCGTTTCAATACCGTGCAATTTTACACCTTCCTGCCCAGGCCATTTTTCAGGTTTCAGCGCTCTCACACCTTGAATGACAATTGCGCGGTCATACAACATTGTACCCAAACTAAAATTTTATCATTTTCTTCACACAACTAGAGCTTTCTTTTGGTGGTATTTAATCACCGCTGGGGTTTTTATTTTTTGCTAAATTAACAAAAAAAGACCAAAAATTTAAAAAAAAAAACACATTTTTCTTTGTTTCTGTTATAAAAGTTTACAAATAAATAATTGTTCTTCATAAATTTAGGCCGAGATGTATTCTGCTACATGTCTTTGGTGAAAATAACCCAAATTAGGATGTATTTTTTAGTTTGTAGGAAAGTTATAGAGTTCACAAACTATGGTATAGATCTGAATATTGATCAATCCTGAAGTACTGACAGCCAATCTAATTTCTTGAGGTCCAAGAATGTCAGAATAGTACAGATATCCCCAAATGACCCCTTTTTGCAGAGTAGACAGTCCGACGTACTTCATAAGAGGCATGGCGAGTTTTTTGAAGTTGTATTTTTTTTGTCATAATTTTTCGGAAATTTAAAAAATTAAAAAAATTATTTTCACTATTTTTTTTTTACATACTGTCACCAGTGCAGTACAGCATCATCATATATAACTGGCATGGCGGTGAACAGGGACACTGACTGGTGACAGTATGAAAAAAAAAAAATATATATTTTTTAAATTTTTTTAAATTTTTTTTTATATTTAATTTTTTATTACATTTCTTTTTATTTTTTTAAAGATTTTTTTTTCATATTTTACTATGACCAAAGTAGTACAATGTTACCATAGTAACATTGTACTACTTTGGGGAAGTGATCAGTATTTTTTTTTTTTTTTACACAATTTGCTTATAGCAAAGAATTACTTTGCTATAAGCAAGCATTTACCTGAATGAAATTGATTCATTCAGCTTTTTTTTTTTTTTTTTTTGTGCTTAGCTGTGATTTGGTCACAGCTAATCACATGACATGTGCATGTGATTAGCTGTGACCATTCACAGCTAGGCACTAGTATACAATGGATGGCATCATGAATGAAGCCATCCATTGTATACAACTGTCATGTGACCTGCTGTGATTGGTCACAGCAGGTCACATGGTACCAGCAACAGGAGCCGGTACTCGGATCTGTCATCGGCCGTGTCCGAGTTGCACGGCCGGTGACAGATCGCACTGCTGCGCCGCTTTGCATTAGTGCAAACTGCGCATGTGCGGGAGCACGCCAAATGGCGTGCACCCGGAGTGCAGAGACACTTTTGAAGCCGCCAAACGGCCATTGGCCGGGCGGCTAATGGTTAAAGGGTGCCTCGGGACTGTCCATAATTTTTAAGGGTGCCTCGGGACTGTCCATAATTTTTAAGGGTGCCTCGGGACAGTCTTAATTTTAAAGGGTGCCTCGGGACTGTCCAAAATTTTAAAGGGTGCTTTGCCTAAAAAAAAGGTTGAGAAACACTGCTTCAGTGTGTGGGCTGGGCCAGTTCTCACATCTGTGCTGTAAATCAAAGGAAAGTCCGGGAGGCCGCACTAAAGCACATATTCACTTTATTGCAAGAAGAAAAACAAACAAATGCTTAAAAACCCCATACTGTATGCCAGTGGGGGGGGGAGTTTCACACATATCGCACTAATCTCAGCACTTAATAATGGCCCACCATCCTGCACTTTCTTAACTTTTTGTGTCTCGTGCTGCTGAGCATAGTAATAAAGGGTTGTATGCAGCTGTGCGTGGGTAAACGTATGCATATGTAACGTCATATATACCTAGTCGCAGACTATCTGAGCGTCGGGGCATACGACTTTTATGCATGCTTGTGTTTATATATGGAGTATTGTGAACCCATGTTACAGCCATTCATAACTATGTTGGTTGTATGCGGCATCTGTGCATCGCAGGTGTAGAAATTTTCCCTCAATTTACACTGTGTGCCAAAAAGTGCCTGTGTGCATGAGCCCTAAATCATGTGTTCTGATAAACTTTCTTCCTGTGAAAGTTTGAACAACCTTTGATTGGTGTGCAGTTATTTTGTAGTAAGGAAGGGAATTTGTGTTGCAGTCCAACGTCTCTCAACAGTCTCTTTTCTCTCCACTTTTCAGATGGCGACTTTCTTTAGCAATAACTTAGACTACTTCATGTCATCTTTGAGTTACGGACCAAAAGGAGGCCAAGGATTCACTAATCCCCTCTCGGCTGCGATGATGCTTCAGTACAAGCAGAAAGCCGCCCAGTACATGAAAGCTCTGAAGACGGTTTGTATACGGAGTAAAAACTTCAGCCGCTGTAGTCCTTAACCTGCACCACTGCCTGATTAGAGAACAAATATTGTCTCTTCAAAAGCAGACATCTCTGGCAAGCTGCGAGACGGCCGGCTCAGCTCATTAAATATTTAGATGCGGAGCAGATACTGCTGACAATTTGTGCTGAACAAGTCTGGTCCTGCAGCATTAATTTGTTTTCATGCCAGTAGAATGTCTGCTGCAAGACTCTTCTTAGCATTGTGATATTTAAGGTTTGCATTATAAATAGGCAGAATCTGCCCTGAGCGCTGCTCCTACCTGGAATTCTCACAGCCATTAATTGTGGAAATGAGTGTCGATTTTTATTTTTAGAACAAGTGAATTTGCTGCTGAGAGGAAATGTGATCCAGAGATGTCTTGTGCTCTGTGATAAAAGATAATTGCAGAGGAAGGAGGTGCGGTATTAAGGAGCTGCTTGTTTTTGTGAAGCTCTGCTAAAAGCTTTTTCAAGGATAAAGTCTATATGCTAGGATATTTCAACATTCTTGACCAGTAATAGATCTGTTCCTTACACAGATGGACCGTTCCAAATTAGGAAGTAGATCTACATATGTCGTTAAGGAGGAAGTACATATTTTCATTTTATTTCTTGCAATTTTCTACCAACAATTACACAGCACTTTAAATATTGTGCATTCTCATCAGCCCCTGTCCTCAAGGAGCTTACACTCTAAGGTCTCTAACTCACATTCATACATACACATACTAGGGCCAATGTAGACAGGAGCCAATAACCTACCATGGAATAGTATGTGGAGGACTCTCTGTAGTATGGGTGTTGTATGTGGAGGACTCTCTGTAGTATGGGTGTTGTATGTGGAGGACTTTCTGTAGTATGAGTGTTGTATGTGGAGGACTCTCTGTAGTATGGGTGTTGTATATGGGGGACTCTCTGTAGTATGAGTGTTGTATGTGGAGGACTCTCTGTAGTATGGGGTGTTGTATATGGGGGACTCTCTGTAGTATGGGTGTTGTATTTGGAGGACTTTTTGCAGTATGGGTGTTGTACGTGGAGGCCTCTCTGTAGTATGGGTGTTGTACGTGGAGGACTTTCTGTAGTATGGGTGTTGTATGTGGAGGCCTCTCTGTAGTATGAGAATTGTATGTGGAGGACTCTCTGTAATATGGGTGTTGTATGTGGAGGACTCTGCAGTATGGGTGTTGTATGTGGAGGACTCTTTGCAGTATGGGTGTTGTATGTGGAGGACTCTTTGCAGTATGGGTGTTGTATGTGGAGGACTCTTTGCAGTATGGGTGTTGTATGTGGAGGACTCTTTGCAGTATGGGTGTTGTATGTGGAGGACTCTTTGCAGTATGGGTGTTGTATGTGGAGGACTCTTTGCAGTATGGGTGTGTTGTATGTGAGGACTCTTTGTATGGGTGTTGTAGGACTCTCTGTAGTATGGGTGTTGTATGTGAAGGACTCTCTGTAGTATGGGTGTTGTATGTGGAGGACTCTCTGTAGTATGAGTGTTGTATGTATAGGACTCTTTGCAGTATGGGTGTTGTATGTGAAGGACTCTCTGTATATGGGTGTTGTATGTGGAGGACTCTCTGTAGTATGGTTGTTGTATGTGGAGGACTCTCTGTAGTATGAGTGTTGTATGTATAGGACTCTTTTGCAGTATGGGTGTTGTAGGACTCTCTGTATATGGGTGTTGTATGTGGAGGACTCTCTGTAGTATGGGTGTTGTATGTGAAGGACTCTCTGTAGTATGGGTGTTTGTATGTGGAGGACTCTCTGTAGTATAGGTGTTTGTATGTGGAGGACTCTTGTAGTATGGGTGTTGTATGTGGGGGACTCTCTGTAGTATGGGTGTTGTATGTGAAGGACTCTCTGTAGTATGGGTTGTTGTATGTGAAGGACTCTTTGCAATATGGGTGTTGTATGTGGAGGACTCTTTGCAATATGGGTGTTGTATGTGGAGGACTCTCTGTAATATGGGTGTTGTATGTGGAGGACTCTCTGTAGTAAGCATGGGTGTTGTATGTGGAGGACTCTGTAGTATGGGTGTTGTATGTGGAGGACTCTTTGTAGTATGGGTGTTGTATGTGGAGGACTCTCTGTAGTAAGTATGGGTGTTGTATGTGGAGGTCTCTTTGTAGTATGGGTGTTGTATATGGAGGTCTCTTTGTAGTGTGGGTGTTGTATGTGGAGGTCTCTTTGTAGTATGGGTGTTGTATGTGGAGGTCTCTTTGTAGTATGGGTGTTGTATGTGGAGGTCTCTTTGTAGTGTGGGTGTTGTATGTGGAGGACTCTCTGTAGTATAGGAGTTCATTTAGTGGTGGTCTCTTTTGTAGTATGGGTGTTATATGTGGAGGACTCTCTGTAGTAAGTATGGGTGTTGTATGTGGAGGACTCTTTGTAGTGTGGGTGTTGTATGTGGAGGACTCTTTGTAGTATGGGTGTTGTATGTGGAGAACTCTTTGTAGTGTGGGTGTTGTATGTGGAGTCTCTTTGTCGTGTGGGTGTTGTATGTGGAGGACTCTTTGTAGTATGGGTGTTGTATGTGGAGGTCTCTTTGTAGTGTAAGTGTTGTATGTGGAGGTCTCTTTGCAGTATGGGTGTTGTATGTGGCGGACTCTTTGTAGTATGGGTGTTGTATGTGGAGAACTCTTTGTAGTGTGGGGTGTTGTATGTGGAGGTCTCTTTGTCGTGTGGGTGTTGTATGTGGAGGACTCTTTGTAGTATGGGTGTTGTATGTGGAGGTCTCTTTGTAGTGTAAGTGTTGTATGTGGAGGTCTCTTTGCAGTATGGGTGTTGTATGTGGAGGACTCTCTGTAATACGGGTGTTGTATGTGGAGGATTCTCTGTAGTATGGGTGTTGTATGTGGAGGACTCTCTGTAGTATGGGTGTTGTATGTGAAGGACTCTCTGTAGTATGGGTGTTGTATGTGGAGGACTCTCTGTAATACGGGTGTTGTATGTGGAGGATTCTCTGTAGTATGGGTGTTGTATGTGGAGGACTCTCTGTAGTATGGGTGTTGTATGTGGAGGACTCTCTGTAGTATGGGTGTTGTATGTGGAGGACTCTTTGTAGTATGGGTGTTGTATGTGGAGGACTCTCTGTAGTATAGGAGTTCATTTAGTGGAGGACTCTTTGTAGTATGGTTGTTCCTTTGTGGACGGTTCTGTCTCTGTAGATGGCTTTCTGGGGTAACAGCCAGAAAAAACTTGACGTTGAAGCAGCAGATTTGAGGATTGTATGTAGACTCTCAGGACAGTGAGCAGTGAAAACAGATGAAAGGTTATATTTTCAAACTTGCTTGCTCTGCCTGAGTACACTAAAAGAATTAAAAGGTATTTCTTTAAATAGTTGGCTGGGCACATGTATACTACAGAAATGCTTTTCTCTCTCTGTCCAAAGAAGTCAAATTGTCATATTATGTTCTTGTTCCTAATACATGTCTCTAGGGACCTGAGTTGACAATGTTTGTTTGCTTCAAGCAGGTTTTGGCCCCATATAAGGTGGTCACCTGCAGGACAAATGCATCGGTTTTTAAATTCTGAATGATCTCAGGAGCATTGATGCCATTGACAAGTCTCATCAACACAGGCCTTTAAACTTGGGGTGGAAATATATTCGAGCACATGGCCAGTATACGCCACCATAAAGCAGCGTTTGATTTAGTGTTCAGTGCCGAGTTGATGGCAAGTTCCTCCACTCTGGTGAATTGTTGACTTCTGAGTACACAAGCCCCTAAATGCTGTCAGATAATGAGATATTTTAGCATAGAATACACAGCTCTGCTCAAGTCAAGTGCATTTAAAGCGAACCTGACCTGGTTTTATCTTCAGTATAATTCATAGGTCCCTATGTGGGGGGGGGGGGGGGGGGGTGTCGGGGTGGCGCAGAACATGGGGGGGGGGGGGCATCAGAGAGCACAGGAGGGGAAGAAGAAAGAAGCTGGATAGGAGGAGCTGCATATAGAGGAATCGCTCTCTCCATTTTCCTCCTGCAGCCTCTGAAAGCCTGCTTCTCCTCCTCTCTTCTGCAGGCATTCAGAGGCTACAGGAGGAAAATGGAGAGGTTGATTCCTTTATATGCAGCCACTCCTATAATTTTTTCTAATAATGAGTGAACGTGCCCTCATTGGCAGTCTGACACTACTTTCTCTTCAGTCTGGCTCGTGGTGTCTGCGGCATCAGGGAATGGGGTCTCCTCCAGCTTTTCCCTCACGGTCACAGGTCAGCTGTCCTGTAGTTTCCCCCCCCCCGGCCCCGAAGGCAGAACTGCCAAAGAGAGGCCGGTTGAGCGGCACGGGCTCAAGGAGCAGCCCAACTGCTGCAGCTGCTTTGGGCCCCACAAGGACATGTGGGCCTGCGTCTCCGACCCCGATGTGCCCTATGGCCAGTCTGCGCCTGTCTGGTGCCAACAGTGAATGGGCTGACAAAAGCCCAGGCACCAAAATGAAGTTTCTAGTCACCATGGTGACCTGGTACCTGGGATTTGTTGAGCTCTGCTGTATCCCCTTCATGACCAAGGCATTTTTTTTGCTATTTAGCACTGCACTGCTTTAACTGGCAATTGCTGGGTCATGCAACACTGTACCCAAATGAAATTTATAGCATTTTTTTTACACGAATACAGCTTTCTTTTGGTAGTAGTTGATCACCACTGGGGCTTTTATTTTTTATTATTATATAAATGAAAAAAGACCAAAAATATCTTTTACTTTCTGTTCTAAAACCTATCCAGTAAAATAAATAAATAAAATTCATAAATTTAGGCCAAAATGTATTCTGCTACATGTCTTTGGTTAAAGAAAAAAAAAATTCCCACGACGTGTATATTAATTGGTTTGTGTGAACGTTATAGCATCTTCAAACTATAGTATAGATACAAGAATGTACACAGCCATAGATGCTTTACTGGTAATGGTGGTGATTAGCAACTTATAGTGTGACCGTGATAGTGTGGTGGGCAATCTGGCACTAGCAGACACTGGCT